GCACCCAGCAGCCCACCACGGGTGACATCAGCCACACCTGTACCCAGCAGCCCACCATGGCGTGTTATGACAGAGGTCACCAGGCCTGAGTCCACAATACCGGCTGGAAGATCTTTGGCAGACATCACCTCAAGTGCAAAGGAAGACACTAGCCCAGCGGTCATCTCCACCCATCCACAGAGGTCATTTCCGAGTCCAGCCTATCAGGTAAGCCTGCAAAACAGAAGATGACTGGGTGACTTCATGACACTGAGAGGCACTGAAAGGCCTGGGAATGTAGCTCAGTGGTAAAACACTGGCCCGGCATGTGCATGGCCTGGGTTCAGTCACCAGTATTGAAAATTAGTCATGAGAAGAACACATATGTCCTTCTCTCATGGCATCTCCAGAGTCACTTTTCAAAGCACTTTTGATGGTCACCCTGTCACCTCCCAGGAGAACTGTCACTAGAAGAAAAACGAAGCAAGTCTAACCTGAGGGTTATGTGTGCATTGCTGCACTTGACGGCTCATTCTTAGTTAGGACTCACATATTCACACACACCCGGGGGGGGGGGCAAGAACCTCTGCTAGCCTCTCCACTGTATCAAAGGTGCTGGAAAAAAGGGGGAGCCACTGAGACAGGGTGACTGACAGGATCCCATTCTCCACTCCGACTTTTAAAACTTCAAACCCGGTTTATATGCAGCCTGACACTTTACCATTCAAACATCCCATTTGCTCTGATCAGCTTCACACGGTGATGGAAGCTAGATGTTCACCCTTGTCCCAACACTGTCTTCCACCAGGGAAGGACTAGCCTGCAAGAGCTTCAACCAAGAACGGGGTTCCTTTCCTTAAATAAAGAGAAGCCAGGAATGTAGAACGAATATCCAGAAGTGTTTACAGATAAATTACTAGAACCCGTTAAGAGAATTTAGCAATGTTGCCCAATTCCAGGTATGCGTTAAGTGTGTGTGCAATGATGGGAAAATTAAACACAGCCAAGCGAGGTAGCCAACGCCTATAATTCCAGTACTCAGGAGCCTGAGGCTGGAGGATTGCAGGTTTAAGGCCAGCCTAGGCTACATAAATGTTAAGATGTGCCATGATGTGGCCCATCTGGGTTCTAAAATACCAAGTGCGGTATGTGTCCCCACAGCTGCCTGTAGCTAGGAGAGCATCTGGAAAGCCCAACCTCTGCTGGGGCATGGGGTGGCAGCTACAGCTCAGCCATATCCTCATCCTTTCTTGTTTGCACCTCAGCTGTCAAAGCCACAATGCAGTGATTCTCAGTCCAGGGTCCTTCTGTCAGTGACCCCTCCCACAAAGTCAGGTATAACCTATTGGACCACGTGGCCCACAAGGGTGGTGTGCTGGTTAGTGTTATGGCAACTTGACACAAGCTGGAATTAGCTGAAAGGAGAGAATCTCAATGGAGAAAATGCCTCCACAAGATCCAGCTGAAGGACATTTTCTGAATTAGTGATTGATAGGGGAGGGCCGGAACTATTGTGGGTGGGGCCATCCATGGGCTGGTGGTCCTGGGTTCTATAGGAAAACAGGCTGAGCACGCCATGAGAGCAAGCCAGTTAAGCAGCACCCCTCCTTGGCTTCTGCATCAGCTCCTGCCTCCAGGTCCCTGCCCTGTTTGAGTTCCTGTCCGGGCTTCCTTCAGTGACGGACTATGTGGAAGTGTAAGCTGGCTGGTGTTTCCTCACAGCCACAGAATCCCTCACTCAGACGGACGGGATCGTGACCCACCGGCTCCTCTCTTCCCACCTAACGCAGCATCTGCAGAGTGCAGTAGGGCCTTGGTAAACGTCTCTTGAAGATGAGTGTGATAAGCGGGCTGTTCTCCAGAACTCCAACAAGTAGTTGGGTTTACACGGGAATCGGTAAAGGTTGGACTTCCAATATAGAAGCTTTGTAAGCGAGGGCCTTGCTCTGTTTGCTCAGTTTGGGGAAGCGTTTGGCACCTCACCTCCTGCCACAACAGTATGTGAGGGTTTCCCTTTTCAACATGAGCTCTTTTCCCCAGTCTTGAGGCTTCAGCCGGGGACCTTGTGCTTGCTAGATAAGCTCTCTGTTGTAGAATATTATTTTAAGTGTGTTACTTTTGATTATGTTGCATTTGTTTAACTCTGCGAAGCTGTGTTACTGTGTCTGTCTAAAATACCTGGTGGGCTAATAAAGCACTGAACAGCCAATAGCGAGGCAGAAGAAAGGATGGGGGCGGGGCTGGAAGGCAGAGAATATATAGAAGGAGAACTCTGGGAGGGGGAGAAAAAAAGAAGTAGCCAGAGAAGGAGGAGGACTCCAGGGGCCTGCAATCCAGCTCCACAGCCAGCCACCGAGTGAGAGTAAGATTTACAGAAGTAAGAGAATGGGAAAAGCCCAGAGGCAAAAGATAGACAGGATAATTTAAGTTGAGGAAAGCTGGCAAGAAACAAGTCAAGCTAAGGCCGGGCATTCATAATTAAGAATAGGCTTCTGTGTGTGATTCATTTGGGAGCTGGGTGGTGAACCTCCAAAAGAGAAAAGAGTTTAAACCCCCCCCCCCAAAAAAAAAAAACAGCTCTCTGGCTCTCGGTGAACTCATTCCTGTAATCTTACCAGCAACCTCATCTGCCTTTGGAGTTTTCATTCTATAAAATTCTTACTCATCTTCTCTCATGTATGAAGGAGATGAAAATCAATTTCACCCACTTGCTTCTGAAAGTAATGGCCCTTTTGGAGCCTGAAGTTCATGAAACTTAGAACGTCATCCTTGGTCAGTGGCCATTAACATAGTATACCAAACTCCAAATGCAGGGTAATCTGTATAAATAATTTTGACAAAATATTATCTTTTAATTTTTTATTACATTTGTGTGGGGGGGGGTGTGCACATGTGCTGTGTTACTCACATGGAGGTCACAGAACTTGCAGTAATCAGTTCTGTCCATCTGCCATGTGGGTTCCTGGGATCAAACTGGGGTCCTTCAGTCTTAGCAGTAAGTGCCTTTACCTACTGAGCCATCTCTCCAGCCTGACAAAAATCTTTTCTTCCCAATAGGTCACAGATCAGACAGCAGGGAACTTGATCCTAGATATTCCTGCTTTTCAAGCTGACAGTGAATTCCAGAAAGCCTGTGACATCCTCCAGAGACTGAGAAACTCCCCTCCAACATCTCCTACTCCAGCTCAGGTAATCAGAACTGGGGAGGGAAGGAACTCGGCGAAGGGAAGGGAGGATGTGGAGACCGTGCCGTTGCAGAACTGGGCACTGTAAAAGTACTGGATGGAAAGAGCTGACTATCAGCAAATACAAATTTAAGTCAGAACCGAGTGCATTGATTGGCGATGGTATTCTCAGTTCACTGATCAGGTTATGTCATTTTAATACATTTGTCAGGAGAAATCACGTGACAAAGACAGCCGCGCAGCTTGCTGTAGATAGAGTGGAATGGTCTTGGGACAGGCATCAAAATCGGAATGCTCCTGGCCTTGCCGTTTTCTGCGCCCCTGCTCGCTCCCTCATAACTGATCAGACTGCTTCTTATGCATAAAAAGGCGGTAGCATAAGAGATTCAACTTTCTTTTTTCTATTTTTTGACATTTGTAAATACACCACAATAAGCATGTCTCTGAAGTTTTGATAGGTAGGTAGGTAAGTAGGTAGGTTGGTTGGTTGGTTGGTTGGTCTGGTTCTTTGGCTTGGTTCTTTGCTGGGGGTGGGGGTTGTTTTTACTTTTTCTATTTTGAGACAGGGTCTCAAGTATCCCAGGCTTGTCTCAAACTTGATGTGTAGGCTAGGATGACCTTAAACTGTTGATCCTCCTGCCTCCACCCCCCCAGTTCCAGTATGACAGATATGTACCACCACACCTAGTTTATGTGGTGCTGGGGCCCAAGCCCGAGGCTTCCCGCATGCTCAAAGCATTTTACCAAGTGAGCCGCATCACCATTCAGTTACAGAAACACACATTCTTTTTTTTGTTTTTTTTTTTGGTTTTTTTTGTTTTTTGTTTTTCGAGACAGGGTTTCTCTGTGTAGCTTTGCGCCTTTCCTGGAACTTGCTTTGGAGACCAGGCTGGCCTCGAACTCACAGAGATCCTCCTGCCTCTGCCTCCCGAGTGCTGGGATTAAAGGCGTGCGCCACCACCGCCCGGCTAGAAACACATATTCTTAGGAAGAAAATCAAAGCAGAACAAATACAATTGTGAGGAAACAAACCCCCCCCCCACACACACACACACCTTGTGCCCTTGCAAATCTCATTAGTGAGATGTGACCATTGCTCCCTTTGCCCTTGACTGGCTGTATATGTATATATATTTATACTGTTTCCTAATTCACAAGTATTTTTAAAATAAATTAAAAGTATACAGATATGTTTAGACCTTTGACTGTTTTGTTTTGTTTTTTCCCCAAGGCAGTGTTTCTCTGTGTAACCCTAGCTTGGTTCTTGAACTCACAGAGATCTGCCTGCCTCTGCCTCCCACTGGGATTAAAGGTGTGCGTCACCACCGCCACCACCACCACCTCCACCATCACTGCCTGGCACCTTTTAAGTTTTAAGTTAACAAATTGCCTTTCCACACCTGTCTGCATATATTAGCTGACTAATAGTCACCTGGATTTTTTGTTTATTCATGAAACAGCTTACCTATGTGCATCCTTGTAAATACATTGAGAACTTGCAAAACTAATTCTGAGTGCTGCATAGAAGCAATGATAGGCCTTTAGACTTGCAACAGATATGGCCAAATTGTTCTGAAAGGTACTGTTTTCATTTCCACTATGGCCCCACATTCCCATTTTTTGCCCATTTTAAAAGCAAGAAAGTTAGGGTTCTGTGGCTGTGATAAAACACTATAATAAAATCAACTCAGGGAGGAAGGGTTTGGTTTATGGGTTACAATCCATCGTCAGGGGAGGCCAAGGCAGGAACCTGGAGGAGGAACAGAAGAAGCAGGAGGCATGGAGGAGCTCGGCTTACTGGCCTGTCCTCCATGGCTTGCTCAGCCTGCTTTCTTATTCAGCTCAGGACCAGCTAGCTGCCCAGGGATGACACTCCCCACCAGGGGCTGGACCTTCCCACACCAATCGTTAATAAAGCGCCCTATAGACTTGCCTATAGACCCATCTTATGAAAGTATTTTCTCAATTGAGAGTCCTCTTCTCAATAACTCTAGCTCCTATCAAGTTGACAATTAATTAGTGAGTTAATTAAAACCACCAGGTAAAGCGGCAGTGTACTGATTTCTACCGAAGCTAATCCTGTGTATACTCACAGCTGTGTTATAACTTCGCTTCTGTTCACTGTTTGACTTGATTCTGAACCTAAGCACGGATTCTGGCATTGAGACATGGCCCCCTCCCCTTTATTCCTTCTCCGAATTGCTCTGTGCCGTCATCTGTCCTGCTCACTCTTCACCTTGGGCCATTGGTCTTGTTATTAGAGGCTTTTATTACTAAGGCTAACTGTTGTAGTTGGTTGTTTTTTACTCTTTGCTCTTTGGGGGTCCAACACCCACCTCCCAAATAAATCACATGGGAGATTTTTTTTAAACTTATGAATGCCTAGCCTTAGCGTATTTCTAGCCAGTTTTTTCTTAACTTAAATTATCCCATCTACCTTTTGCCTCTGGGCTTTCATCTTTCTCTATTCTATATGCCTTTCTTTACTTCTTACTCTGTGGCTGACTGTATTGCCGGGTGGCTGGCTCCTGGCATCCTCTCTCCTCCTCCTCCTCTTGTTTCTCAATCTCTCCTCCCAGATGTCTCCTATTTACTCTCTCTACCTTTCTCCTGTCTCACTATTGTCCATTCAGCTCTATATTAGAGCAACCATACTTCAAATATTTTGTGCCAGTGTCTTATTTTTAAACTTCTGAATATGCTTGATTTTTTTTTTTTGGTTGCTTGGTTTTTTTGAGACAGGGTTTCTCTGTGTAGCCCTGACTGTCCTGGAACTCACTCTGTAGACCAGGCTGGCCTCAAACTCACAGAAATCCATCTTCCTCTGCCTCCTGAGTGCTAGGATTAAAGGCATGCACACCAGCTGGTGTCTTTGATTTTTACAGAAGCTTTTAATAAATATAACTTTGAAAGGAGATAGCATTTCAAAATAAAAATAGTAGTACCTACAATAGGTGTCCAGTAACCATCCAATCAAACCTGCCTAACATTTCCTTTTGGTAGGTAGTTAGTTGATTGGTTGGTTGGAGACAGGGTTTCACTGTGCAGCCTGAGCTGACTTTAAACTTACTTGCAATCTTCCTGTCTCTGTCTCCTGGGTGCTGGGATTACAGGCATGCATCACTGCACCTGGCTGCTTAGCCTTTTTTTTTTTTTTTTAACTCCTGTATAAAAGAGGACTGGTGTTTTCCATTGTATTTAGAACTTCCCCCTGGTCTCTGTTTTTTGGATATCTGGAAACTTCTGATGCCACCACCCATCCCTTCACAAAGAGCTCACCTTCTCAGCATTTGGCCAGACATTGCTCTTTTCCTAAGCACCCGTCTTTTAGTTTGATTTTGTTCGCTTAAACAGCTTGTCTACTTAGCACTCCAAATTCCTTAGAATAACATTAAACACAATCCTCCCCCACAGGTGGCATGGAATCATATATTTTCCTTGCCTGCCAAATGGTGATGTTGCTTCTTGTAAAATACATTTGAACTATGGAATGGATATTGATGTGGGGCTGGGGAATAATTCAGTTGGTGAAGTGCCTGTGCACAAGCTTGAGAACCTGAGTGCACATCTGCAGCACCTATGTAAAAGCCAGATGTGGCCCTGCATGTCTGGAAATCTACTGATGGAAAGGTGGAAACAGACAAATCCCTAGAGTTTGCTGCTCAGCTGGGCTAGCCAGTTGGTAAGACTCCTGTTCAGTCAGTGAGAGACCCTGTCTCAAAAAACATGGTGGAGAGCAACTGATGAAGGTATATGACATCGATCTGGCCTCCAGGTGCACATACACCCACATGAATATAGGCACACACCATACACACATATATACATACATGAAGAGGAGGAGGGAGAGGAGGGAGAAGGAGAGAATAGTGCACTGCTTATAGGAAGGCACAAATAAATTTAAAACAGGCACAAGCAGCTACATGCATTTCCTTTCTGACTCCCCTAGGTCAGCGTGGCCAACTTACTCATTGACCTGAGTGAGCAGCTGATGATGATCCCATTTCAGCAAAATGACAGTCGGAACCTCAAAACTCCGGCAGTTGTCTGCCCCCTTCAGCCTCTTGGAAGTACAATAACAACCAAGAAAGGAAGTCAGCAGATTCTTCAGCAAGACACTGAGCTTGCTGAGGTGAGTGTGCTGTATGCCGGTGGCCAGCTCTGCCACACAACCTCTCCCCAGTCTTTAAAAGAGAATCCTGCTGGAGAGACTGCTGAGTCTTCTCTGGCCTCTTTCTCTACCCGACCAGTGCACAGAGACTACTGAATGCTCACTTCACAATCAGTGAAAGGACTTAGTAAAGCATGTCGTAAACCCTCGATGAGATATCCAACACCCTTAGCTATTGGGAAAGTGCAAACTAAAGCTAAGAAGCTGGATACAGTGTTATCCCAGCACTGGGGAGGCTGAGACAGGGGGATAGCAAGTTCAAGGCCAGCCTGGACTGTGTAGCAAGACCTTGTTGGAACGGGAGAGAATGGAAGAGAATGGGAAGGGAGGGAGGAAGGAGAGAGAGAGAAAGAGAGAGGAGGGAGGAAGGATCGGAGGGAGGAAGAGAGGGAGGAAGGAAAGAGAGAGAGAGGGAAAGAGAGAGGAGGGAGGGAGGAAGGAAAGAGAGAAAGGGAAAGAGAGAGGAGGGAGGAAGGGAGGAGAGAGAGGGGGAAGAGAGAAAGAGAGAGGAGGGAGGGAGGAGAGAGGGGGAAGAGAGAAAGAGAGAGAGGAGGTAGAGAGGGAGGGAGGAAGGAAGGGAGAGAGGGAGGGAGGGAAAAAGGGAGGGAGGGGAAAAGAGGGTGATAACAATTTACACCAAAAATATGGACAAGCCAGGTGTGGTGACATGTGTCTGTGATTACAGTGCTCACGAGGCAGAGGCACGTGGACCTGAGGGGTTCAAGGTCATCCTTGGCAGCACACTGAGTTTGAGGCCGGCCTGAGAGTCTTTCTCAAATCAACATCAGAGAGGGGAGAGGGAGACAGTAATGAATATTAGCAAGGATGCTAAGACACTAAAACCATCATGAATTGTTGTGTTTGGAAATAATGCAGCAGCCCATCAAAGTGTCAGAAATAATCTGGCTGTGTCTTTACCAATTATGCTCTTTGGTATGTACAGGAGAGAATTGAAAAAGCAGGTCCACACAAAAACATGTTCAAAAGAGGATTTTTCAAACAGAAAAAGAGCCCAGTGTGGAAACAGTCCCGCTGCATGTGATCTGAGGGGTGGTGGATAAATTACAATACAGCACGTTCATATAAAGACTGTTTAGCCCCAGGAAGGAATGACGTATTGACGCACGACACAGCATGGGTAACCCGCAGGAACATCACGTCACATGAAAGACCATTATAGTTCACCTCGAGAAATGTAGAGAAGCATCAGGTCTGTAGAAGCCAGAGTAGGCCAGTTTATTTTAGGGGGATGAATTTAAAAGCTAAGATTGTGGCATTGGTTACATACGTAGATGTAAAACATATATTCTGCGAGGGTGAGTTCTACCACATTTGGGAATTTCATCTCAACAGAGCTGTGTTTAAGTCTTCATCATGCTGCTGGGGCTGTAGCTCAGCTGGTAAAGTGCTGGGGCTGTGCTGTAAGAAGCCCCATGAACCATCCACAGCACCCCACAGATTGAGCATACACAGCATTTGGGATTGGAGCAGGAGGATCAGAAATACTAAGTGATATCTGGCTACAGAGTGCGTTTGAGGTCAGCCTGGGATACACGACACCTTGTCCTCCCACCCCACAGAGCACCCATCGAGAACACTGAGGGAAACTCCTATCAGAGGTGAAAACAGAAACTCCTCACACGAAACCGTCCACAGGGCTGATTAACTGGTTAGAACTTTCATGACCATGGGGAGTTTGGAATGGTACAAGTTCAGAGCCAAGTTATCTTGGGCCATCATTAGCCCTCTTAATAACCATGTGTTGTCTGCATGTGACCTGGCATCTGTGTGACCAGCAGATCCTTTGAAATGTCCAAACAGACACCTAGCTCCCACTAACCAAAAAGCTGAGAATGCTATCGGATGGCAGCTGTGGCCTGTAGAACAGAGTTCCCAATTTCTTCAGCCCTCCTATGTACTGTTTCCACCAGTGTATTTGAAAACTCCTCCATTTAAGACTTCCTTTGTTCTAGCCAGGCGGTGGTGGCGCACGCCTTTAATCCCAGCACTCGGGAGGCAGAGCCAGGTGGATCTCTGTGAGTTCGAGGCCAGCCTGGTCTACAAAGTGAGTTCCAGGAAAGGCGCAAAACTACACAGAGAAACCCTGTCTTGAAAAAACAAACAACAAACAAACAAGACTTCCTTTGTTCTGTTGCCATAACGACTCCATCCAGCTGTCACCATGATGGAACATGGAATTTGGGGGACCTGAATCGGGCGTGTGTGTGTGTGTGTGTGTGTGTGTGTGTGTGTGTGTGTGTGTGTGTGTTTGATGCAAAGTTGTTAGTGAGACTCTGAGCACTTCTGTGAGGTTCCAAAGTCCATGCTTGCTCCCTCCCCTTTCTTTACACCACTATCAAAATCCCTGTTCCCCTTGGAACTCCGTCAGAACCATTTCAGTGACAGCCCACAGATCACAAGGGATCTCACTCTACATGCAGGTTGCAGACATGCTGGAGATGTCCTTGATGGCCCTGGGAGAGATCCACAAAGCATTTTGCCAGCAGAGCCTGTCTCCTGAGTCGGCAGTGACCTTGACCTCTCCTGATGCTGCTCTGCTGTTGAGCAGGTTAACCGGCTGGAGGGCTGGGGAAATTTCCTTCTGGTTTTGACTTTTAGAGGGCATACAGAAACTGATTAGCATTTACATTCTTTCAGCCAAAATGTATCATCTTTGCCTCTGAGCACTTATACTCTGGGTGACCCCGCACCCTTGAGGTTAGGTTTTCCATCAGCAGAAGCGCTGAAAGAGCTCTTGAATAAACACCCGGGAGTGAACCTTCAGGTGAGTGTGAACTTGACTGAGAGGGGAATGAAAACGGTATATGATGGCTGTGTGGGAATGTAAGGGGAGAGAATACACACCATCCGGGCCACATAAGGAAGACTGTGGGCATGAATGTATATTTCATTCATCTCTTAAAAATGATCCAATAGGGGCTGGGGAGATGGCCTAGAGGGTAAGAACACATGCTCTGTCAATAAGAGGACCTGAGTTTGAATCTCCAGCACCCGTGTAAATGTGGGCCTGGCTGTGTGTGCCTGTAACCTCAGCACTGGGGTGCATAGACAGGCAAATATGAGAGGTCATTGGTTGGCCAGCCTAGCTAAAACACAAGCTTCTACTTCAGTGAGAATCCCAGACAGCAGCAGCAGAAGATACCCAGTGTCCTGCTCTTGTCTCTACATGCCTACTCATTGCCATAAGCTCTTGCACCCATGGACTCATATGAATGTAACACACACACACACACACACACACACACACACACACACACACACTCACACACTTAGTATATAGCTAGGTTTGATGGCAGATGCCTGTTTTCCTAGCACTTGAGAGACATCAGAAGGAGGATTGCTGTGGATTCAGGATTCAGGGATAGCCTGGGCTACACTGCAAGTCTTGAAAAAAAATCCAATAGAGAGCATTAAACAGATATTCGGATTTAACTGTGTTTCTGTGTTGTGATTTGAATTGATCTCAACTACTGACTGGGATTATCTGAATCGTAACGATTCAGTGTAAAAAACACCGACAGTATTGAAGTGTAGAATCCTTGCTTCCAAAGAGCAAATGTGTGCAAATGATGTCAAGGGTCCTAAATGCAGCACGGTCTTTCATTGTTTCTCTTCAGCGTTACAATGTTCAGCATCCCTTCTTCACTTCTCACACTGTTGGAGAATCCCAGCATTTGATTTAGAGCTGCTACCTTGTAACCTGTTGGGGGAGGGGGGGCGCTCTCCTTTAAGAAAAACTTGGCAATTGGAGGAACTGGAATGTGCTTCCTCTCCAGGTAACAGGTCTGGCTTTCAACCCTTTTGAGACTTCAGATGACAAGAACATTGTTGGAAGCATTGGAAATGTATTACTGAGCTCTGGTTATCACTCGCTCCAAGTCCATGATTTAATAGAAGATATTGAGGTACCAGTTTCTTGATGGTAACAGGACATGCTGGAAAAGAGCGTGGAAAGATGCAACAACTTAGCATTTTAGATTCATGTCAGAGCTAAGTGCATGGCGCATGCCTTTAATCCCAGCACTTAGGAGACAGAGGCAAGCTATCTCTGCGGATTCGAGGTTATCTAGGATACATAGTAAATTCTCTATGCCAGAAAGGCTGCATAGTAAGACCCTGTTTTGTTTTTGTTTTGTTTTGTTTTGTTTTGTTTTGTTTTGTTTTGTTTTGTTTTGAAAAAAAAAAAAAAAGGATCCATGTCAGAGCCAGCATTTTGTTACACATCTCTGGAAGCTTCACAAAGAGATAGACCTGACTCAGTGCAAGGAAAAGCCACTAGAGACTGTAATCCCTTCCACTAATCCCTGGCAGTGTGCTGCCTACTAAGACCCAACAAAGAAGCCTTGGGAAATTTGTTACATCATCACTACAAAGGAAGCAGAAAGGTCCATCTTTACATGGAGGATTAAGTGTCTCTCTTTCAAGCCAGGCGGTGGTGGCACACACCTTTAATCCCAGTACTCGGGAGGCAGAGCCAGGCAGATCTCTGTGAGTTCAAGGCCAGCCTGGTCTATAGAGCAAGATTCAGGAAAGGTGCAAAGCTACACAGAGAAACCCTGTCTCGAAAAACAAAACAAAACAAAACAAAAAGTGTCCCTCTTTCTAGATCGTGCTCTGGAGAAATGCCAGCATGGAGACCCAGCCCACCAACCTCAACACAAGTACAGACCGTTTCACAGTCACAGTGAATATCACCTCTGTGGAGAAAACCCTCATTGTGACCATCGAGCCGGAAAGTCCCCTGCTAATGACACTCTACCTGGGCTTCCAGGACGAGCCTGACCACACTCACTTCTACCTGAACGTCAGCCTTCCCAGGGACCAGGTGTGGCAGAAAGGTATCAGCCATCAGATGTCTGAAACTTAATTGATATGTGTTTCTCCTTTTTAACTTGTGATTGTGAGGTAATTGTAGGTTCACACCCAGCTAGAAGATGAAGCAGCACGCTTGTTTTTTTTAACCAGTCCCCCCAATGGCTGAGCTACAAGTTCACAACCAGGAAGTAACCTTGACACAATATACTATCAGTAGATATTCCCAGGGTTCCAAGCATTCACCTCTCTATATATGTGCACCTTGTTTTATTTAATTAAAGATGGGTTATGTAATGCATAAAAGGATATAGATATAGATATATGCTCTGTATATACTTATATAGAGAGAGATCATATATGTGATAAAGCAAATTTTATTAAATGCTAATTGTAGAACCCAATGATAACATGAATTTACAGTATAAAACTCAGCTTTCAGTGTAGTTGAAAACATTCATAGACATAGTAAGGACTGGGTCATAACTCTGTGGTAGAACATGTGTTTGGTATGCCAAGGCTGGGATTCCATCATTAGGATGAAAAGAAGTTGAGACCAACTGAAGAAATAACATTCTAGTGCCATGGACCAGATCATATCATTTCAAGCTTATTAAGATATAGATGAATGTATATAAAATAATATCCCAATTTCCATTTTTAGTCTTAGATTTGGGAAAGGGTCAGAGACAGTAAGTGTTGATATAAGACAGAATGACATTATCGGAGGAGTTAGGAATCTTTGGAAGCAGAGCTGAGGGTGTTGCTCAGTTGATGGAGTCCCTGCCTACCATGCACAAAGCCCGGTGTTGATCCCCAGCACCACTGGTTTTGTTTCTAAGAATTTTTGCAATAATACCAGTAGTTAAAATTTTCTGTGCAGTTGAGCATAGGGGTCTGTAATCTTAGCCCTTGAGAGTGGAAGGCAGATGAATCAAGAGTTAAAAGCTTTCCTTGGCTTTATAACAAGCTGGCGGCCAACCTACACAAAACGAAATTCTGAGAGGTTAGAGAGATGGCTCCATGAATAAAATGTCTGCTGCTCAAGCATGAGGACCTGAGTTTGGATCCCCAGCATCCATGTAGAAGCTCAATATGGATGCCCTTACCACTGGTGGGAGACAACATCGGGTCCCTAGAACTCATCGACTGGCCAGCCCAACTGAATTGATGGGTTCTCATCCAGTGAGAGACCCTAAAGTGACAAGCAATCAAGGCAGACACCCAGAGTCAACATCTGGCTCCCAAATACAAGAGCACACATGCACACGTGCACACACATATGGACAAATATATAGCCCACACACAAATATTTGAGACCCATGAGCGATGCCTAGATACACTTGATACACCATGCTCTATGGATGTAAATTTGAAACGTACTGGAAAGTCTCAGCATCACTTAGAGTTAGAAGGACCTTTGCTGTGAGGACGAGAAAACTGAGGCCAGGGAGATAAAGTGACTTGTCTTAATCCTTGACGGCCACCAGGACAGGACACAGGGGCTCGTGGGAAACCCAGTTCCCTGCAACCACTGCATTTGCGTCTTTCCTTTATCCCAGAGTTTGTCACCTAAGGTGGGCGGTGACGTTGTTCTCTTCAAGTGCCTGTGTGTGTAATGGGAGAGCGGGTTGTGGAGGAGTCAGGGGTCGCCTGACACTGATGTGGGACATCTTTATCAGTCATTCTTTTACCTTATTCTTTGAAGTGAGGTGTCTCAGTCAAACCCAGAGCTTGCCGGGATGATGAGTGTGGGTAGTCAGCTTTCCTGGGGATGCCTCTACCTTTCTGAGGCTGGGATTACAGGCAGATTGCCATATCCACCCAACACTTTTGTGGGCTCTGGGGAGCCGAACTCTGATCCTCTTGCTGGCTTACCATATGCTTCACTTTAACTGCTAAGATAGCTCGAAGCCTACCCCCCCCCTTTTTTTTTTAAGTCTCGTGTATCCAAAGCTGGGCTCAAACCCACTATATAACCAAGGATGACCTTGAACTTCTGATCCTCCTGTGTCCATCTCTCAAGCACTAGCTAGCTAGGATTACAGATTTGTGCCACCGTGATGGGTTTTTTGGTGCTGGGGATCAAACCCAGCATATATGTTAGGTTTATATGTGTTAGGCAAGCACTCTTACCACTGAGCTACATTCCCTGCCTGTCTTAGTCAGTGTTCTATTGCTGTGAATGACGACAGCAGACATGGTGCTGGAGAAGTAGCTGTAAGTTCTACATCAAGATCTGCAGGCAGCAGGAAGAGACACTGGGCCTCACTGGGCTTTTGAAACATCAAAGCACATACCCAGGGACACACTACCTCCAATATGGCCACACCCACTCCAACAAGGCCACACCCTCTCATCCTTCTCAAGTACTGCCACTCCCTGCTGACCGGGCACTCAAATATATTAGCCTATGGGGGGCCGTTCTTATTCAAACCATCACACAGCCCATGTGTGATGGTTTCATTTTTCTAAAACTCATAGTGCATTCCAGTTCATTAGGCATAAACGTGCACATATCAAAAGAACATGATTCTTTTGCTGGAATGGATTTGATGCAGAGTTCAGGATTGTGTCAATGGTCTTTTTTTTCCACATATTTCTGGTGCTAGACTTGTATCCTCATTTGTAAGAAAACAGTAATGAATAATAGTAGTCGTGGATCTGAAGGAATTTTATCCCTTCGGAAGTATAACCCGTGATTCTTCTTTGTCCTAAGATGAGGAGTACACATGGGTGCTGACACCAGAGAGCCTGCAGTACGGGACTGGCACTTACTACATCATGGCTGTGGTAAATAAAAGTACAGAGGCCATGCAGTGCACACCTATCCTGGTCTCAGTGGTAACGGCTGTCACCCAGTGCTATTTCTGGGACCAAAACAACAGGACATGGAAGAGCGATGGATGCCAAGTAAGGGGGGGTGTTGCGGGGGTGGGGGTGGGGGGGCTCTCTGAAACCTTAGCTGCGCCTCTCCCCCTTCCCTCCTTGGGGATAGGCCAGAAACAACAGCACTCTGAAGGAAAACAAATCTTCCAGGGGACAGAGAGGAGGCTGGCCTGTGGTAGCCGGGCAGGTGTGTCTCTAGAACGGCAGGTCCGTGCTGTCTTTTTCCAATTCCCATCTCAATGCAGTGGCAGGCCAGTCTGACTGTGCTGGGCACTGAGTGACAGCTGACAGCTATAGACAAAGATAGAAAGTAGGTGGGGAAGCTGCTTGCTAAATATGCTGTGGCTAAAAGAAGCAAGCCTCCTGCTAGACAGAAGAAAGCTTTTCCAGTTGGGACTATGTTATAGAAAGCGGATGGGGAGGTGGCTCAGCAGTTAGAGCATTCCCTGCTCTTCCAGAGGACTCACTCAAGTTCAGTTCCCAGCCCCCATGTGTTGGCTCACAGCCACCACCTGTAACTCTAGCTCCAGGGGATCCAATGCCTTTTCTGGCCTCTCAAGCGCGCGCGCGCGCGCGCGCGCGCGCACACACACACACACACACACACACACACAAATAAAATAAAAGTAAGCCTTAAAAAAAAAAATGCATTGTAGATGCTTGTACACCCCAGACAGGCAAGGACAGACTGCCACATTTACAGTTACCACCTTGTCCCCTGGCGTCTGGCCCTTCCAGAAGACATCACACCTCTCACTACATAGCCCAGGTTGGCCTCCTGTTCTCGATCTTCTTGTTTTGGCCTCCTTGAGTATTGAGGCTACAGGCATGCGTCACCACACCCAGCTTGCACATCCTTGATCTGGTGCGTGCCAGCCAGATCTAATGTCTACTTCAGTAACACCACACTGATGCAAAGCCCTGGTAATCATGAAGCTATTCTTCCAAGGGCTGAGACTGGATCTGCGGCGTGGTGGTGGTTGTGTGTAACCCCAGCCCGTGGGAGGCAGAACAGGGGGATCATGAGGTCAAGGCCAGCCTGAGCTACATAGTAAGACCCTGTGTTTAAAATAATAATAAAAAAAAACTAAAGCTGGGCAGTGGTGGTGCATGCCTTTAATCCCAGCTCTCGAGAGGCAGAGCCAGGAGGATCTCTCTGAGTTCGAGGCCAGCCTGCTCTACAGAGCGAAATTCAGGATAGGCACCAAAACTACATGAAGAAACCCTGTCTCGAAAAACCAAAAAGAAAAAAGAAAAAAAATTGAGCTTGGCAAGGAAAAAATGGATTCCCAGGAAATCCACTGCCTCCAACAGTAATGTCTGGTAGCCACTCCTCAGGCAAATCCCCCAGCCGGGAGCATATTAAGAAGAAGGTTCTGCTGTAGTGACTCTGGGTGAGTCATGCATTAAGGAGCAAGACTGAAGAGCGTTTCTGCTCTCGAGATGCAAGCATTGATAACAGAGCCATTGGGATGCTTCTGCCCATTGAGTCCCTCTGGGATGCTGTGTCTCTGAGTATAAGGAAAGGGGTGTTCCCAGGCCGGAGGAGGGCCTGAGCAAGCAGGACTTAGCATCGTGTAGCAGAATTAAGGAATTAGTTACAGAGGCAACATTTTCAGTGGAGGGGATCAGTCCCAAGACTTCACACTTGCTAGATAGGCACTCTACCACTGAGCCCCCGTTACAGGCTTTCAATGCACCAACTCAAACACACATGGCTAGCTTCCATTTGTTCATACTTACTGGTCCAATTTTAAAACACACAATATGAAGAAACGTTATACCATATGGAAAATGACAGGGAATAATTTAAAAGTTCTAAACATACCAGTCAGCTTTATCAAAATTATTATTTTTTTCTAATTCAGAGGGTTTTTTGTTCTTGTTGTTTTGAGACTCATTGTGGAGGGTCTAATTACGTAGCCCAAGCTGGCCTGCATCTCATGGAGATCCACTTGGTTATGCTGGGATTTAGGTGCACGCCGTCACACCTGGCCTCGTTCAGAGTCATAAAGATAAGAAAGCACTCAGGGCTAATAGAGGCCAGATGTGTGCCCCTCACTGTTATCCCTCCCTCCTGTAGAGGACGGCCACAGCTCTGGGCTGCTGTGTACACTCGTTCTTTCTGCACCTGCTCGGTGGATACCTTCCACATGAGGTGCCACGTTAGAAAATATGGATGCAGGGATGGGTCATCAGCGAAGACGATGCCACACATCCCGGGCTGCCAAGCCTGCCAGTCAGAGTGCAACCCCGAGAACCCAGAGGGGAGAAGGGGAGAACTCACCCGTGCACATACACATTATAAATAAATGTATAGAAACCAATCTTTGCATCCTTCTGTCTCAACGCTGCTGGTGTTTCCATCTCCTGCTTGCCACTCCTTAGCACTCACTCTACCTCAGAATCGGCGTCTTTGGTCTACTTGCAGGCAGGCCCGCAGAGCACCATTTGGAAGACGCAGTGTCTCTGTAATCACCTGACCTTCTTCAGCAGTGACTTCTTCATCCTGCCCAGGACGGTGGATGTGGAAAACACCATCAAACTGCTGCTTCGTGTGACCAACAACCCCGTTGGGGTGTCATTGCTGGCCAGCCTTTTAGGATTCTATAGCCTCTTAGTCACGTGGGCTTGGAGGAAGGATCGAGCAGACATGCAGAAGGTAAGAAGGCTTGGACTCCAAAGGCCATGGTGTCTTGAGTATGTTGAGTTAGATAGGGAGACGTAGGCATCGTGGGCCAGGGAGCAGGGAATTCAGGTAGAGTTGTATTTAATTTTTCTGCATATCTACTATCTCAAAAAAAAAGTAGGTTTTTTTCTCTTTCTTTTTTTTTTTTTTTGTTGTTGTTTGTTCAGTGCCAAGGTTGGATTGTCACAGGAGTCATGCAGATTAGAAATAAAACAGAAAATAGCTGTCCTAGGAACTCAACTGAAATCAGACTCATATTTTTGTTTGTTTTTCAACACAGGGTTTCTCTGAGTAGCCCTTGCTGTCCTGGAACTCATTTTGTAGCCCAGGCTGGCCTGGAACTCAGAGATCCACCTGCCTCTGCCTCCAGAGTGCTGGGATTAAAGGCGTGTGCCACCACTACCAGACTCATATTTATCTTACCTTATAACTTAAAAAACTTATTCTGAGTCAAATTATAATTTAACATAACTACAACCTACAGGAAGCTGGTAAAGAATTCTTTTCTGAGACTGATGGTGTGGCTCACTGAGTGAAGGTCCTTGCCATCAAGGCTGATGAACTCGGCTTGATCCCCAGTGCACACATGATAAAAAGAGAACAGCAAGTTGTCCTCTGCCCTCCGCTCGTGTGTCATGACACACCTGTGCCCCACCCTGCACACAAAGAAACAAATGCTCAAACTTTTAAAAATTATTTTCTGTGTCTTCAGACAAGATTTCATACTGTCCCCTAACCTGACCCAAGAAACACATTATATAGCCCAGGCTGGCCTTGACATCACAGTAATCTTCAAAATTAAAATTTATTTAATGCTAAAAATGCTAAAATTACAGATGTGAGCCACCATCCTTGGCTGGGTAAATTTCTTTTAGACAGGATCTCACTGAGTAGTTCTGGCGGGCGTGAAACTCACTACATAGCTCAGGCTAGCCTCAAGCCTACAGAGATCCACCTGCCTCTGCCTCCAAGTGACACCACACCTAACTATGACTAGGAAAAAAATTTTAAGGATTTATTTATTTATTATAGATACAGTTCTGCCTGCATGCCAGAGAGGGCACCAGGTCTCATTACAGATGGTTGTGAGCCACTGTGTGGTTGCTGGGAATTGAACTCAGGACTTCTGGAAGAGCAGCCAGTGCTCTTAATCTCTGAGCTATCTTTCCAGGCCTCACCCAAAAAAATTTTTTTAACAGTGAAATTCTTTGACAGCTTTTTCTTAATTTATGTTTAGATATTTATTGTGTGTGTGCGTGAGAGAGAGTGTGTGTTTATTCAAGGCCTTATACATTCTAGACAAGGGCTCTCCCAATATCTACACTGCAGCTTCGTTTATACTTGGAAGTTCTAGGAGGTGGAGTATCTGTTTCTTATTGTCCTGGGTGAAGTGCCACCAGCTTTAGTAAATAAAAATAGAAGACAGGCGGCAGTGGCGCACGCCTTTAATCCCAGCAATTGGGAGGCAGAGCCAGGTAGATCTCTGTGAGTTCAAGGCCAGCCTGGTCTACAGAGTGAGTTCCAGGGCAGCCAGAGCTATTACACAGAGAAACCCCCGTCTCAAACAAACAAACAAAAATTTGCATTTCATATGAACATATAAACAGCAAATGAATCTTTAGCAGGCCCCATGACCCTCATCGTTTATCTGAAACTCCAGTCTCCCTGGACGTCCTCTACATGACATGCTACTCCCACCAGAGTGGGAGGGAGGTGGAGGGCTTATTGCCCAAGGCCCAGTCAGGTGATTCTGAGGATGTTTCATTGTAAAGACAGAGCCTAGAGTTTCAGACCTCATCCCTCTGGTCACACTGCTGGCCTGTGTGTGCTTGCCTGGTGACATCACCTCCCACTGCTTCCCATGGGGTCCCAACATTGCCACAGAGAAGCCTGTTCCCAGCGGGGGGCCCTCCTGAGTCAAGACCTGGCAAGCTCATTGCGTCTGCTTTTCCTGCAGGTGAAGGTGACTGTCCTGGCTGACAACGACCCCAGCTCTGCATTTCACTACCTTATCCAGGTCTACACTGGGTATCGAAGGAGGGCTGCTACAACAGCCCAGGTCAGCAGGACCCACGCGCATTACTGTGCGTCCTCTGCGATGGGGCATGTTCTAACTTGGCAATAGCTTGGGATCCAATAGCGCTTTAGAAGGAATCACAGGGACTGGCATTGCCTGGTCCTAAAGTGTAATGTCCTTGTCTGTCAACTTCCGATGGCTGCTTCTTTCTGCTTAAGGAAAAACCCCAGAGTTCAGTGTCACAGTGCCTCGTGTTTCGTCTTTTCTGGCCACACCTTAGGTTGTTATCACCCTCTATGGCTCGGAGGGGCACAGCGAGCCCCACCACCTTTGCGACCCGCAGAAGGCCGTCTTCGAGCGTGGAGCCCTGGATGTTTTCCTGCTCTCCACTGGGTCCTGGCTGGGGGACCTGCATGGCCTTCGACTCTGGCATGACAATTCCGGCGACAACCCTTCTTGGTAAGTACCTGCCCTGGGCTGGCTCACTTTTTCTTTAGAAATTTTTTTGCATTTATTTCTTTTTTGGGGGGGTGAGGGGGTGTGGTTGAGACAGGGTTTCTCTGTGTCATTTTGGTGCCTGTCCTGGAACTCGTTCTGTAGACCAGGCTGGCTTTGAACTCATACAGATCCTCCTGCCTCTGCCTCCTGAGTGCTGGGACTGAAGGTGTGCGCCACCACACCTGGCTTATTTCTTTATTTTGTATGTGTGTGTGCACACCACTCCCCCATGTGTGGAGGTTAAAGGGCAATCTGAGAGTCAGTTCTCCCCTTCCATCAGATGGTTCCGGAAATTGAACTCAGGTTGTCAGACTTGGTGGCCCGTGCCTTTACCCCCTGAGCCACCTCACTGGCTCTTGTTTCCAGGTCCCTTGTAGCCTTTTGAGAGACCAGCAAGTTACCATGGTAAACAATAATGCTTTCAGCCAAACCCTGACAAGTGGCTGCTGGACTCATGTCTTCAGAGAACAAAACCCAGAAAGAAATAAGGAAGCTGACAGTACAGTGGTGTGCGTGTGTGTGTGTGTGTGTGTGTGTGTGTGTGTGTGTGTGTGTGT